TGTTTTTGTACCCAAGAACTAATGGCTAATTTACTAATTACTGCAAGGACAACAAAGCACAAATCAGGATGATTAACTCTACCCCAGTTGTGGAAGAACAGAGATCATTCTCTTGGCAGGTATAATTGACAATTACTGTGATGCATTTTAAATAAAAGATCATACATAACTGCTTGACTGGGAAAACAGTGCTTTTTTATGAGACTCCACAACAGGATTCATCCACAGGAAATTCTCAGGCAAGAAATGTTAGAATAGTAAGGTTATAGTTTGATGACACCACTTAAATTGGAATAACTGACAATGAACATAGTAAATAAGGTCTGGATGTTACAATTATTATTTTGTTTTGCTGTGTTATTTATTTGAACCTTCCAAGTTTATTTGGTTAACTTTCTTGGCAAAAAAAAAAAAAAACTTTCAATTTTTACCCGTAGTCCTTTATCTATTTCAACTATGATATAACAAAAATGCCTATTTAGGTTAAAAGTAAGCAGTAATGGATTCCATTTAGATTAAAAACATGAAGTGGCAACATTTATTTGGTGAATGTTTAAACTGCCAATTCCAGAAGCCTTAAGACACTTTATAGTACATTTAATAATATTAAATTTTATTGAAAAATCTTTATTAAAAAGTCATCAAAAATGTACTGCCAATCAAACCAATGGTAAATAAAACCACCTTTTATGTTGACTTTATTTAGTATGTAAGCAGTGATAAATTGGCTGTCCTTAAATAACCTTGTGTGGTAAATTTAATGTTGTTTTTATCTATTGAACCCATTCACCTATATTTTTATTGTCTACAAACAAACTGGCAGCTTATATAATTGCACACCCACTCTTAATATGTGTGGAATGGCCCTGTTGTGTTATCCCAAAACCAATCTAGCAAGCATGTTCTATACAAACTATGGTTTGCCAACTATAAGCAATGGCAGGTTTATTACAAAGCCATTGTAGTAGTTAAACTTAGAGATTACTAACATGTTTTAATTGTTAATTTTGATATTCAAAATTCTGTGCTATATACCATAATGAGATATCCCAGCAAGGTATGTTACAAAATGGTCAAATCTATTCAAATAAATTACCATTATTATTGAGTTCTCCCTAATCACAATTCTTCTGCTCTTTCTAAAATAGGAAAATATTAAAAAAAGAATACTGAAGACTGCTTGTTATGTTAAAATGCATTACTATCTTGACTAATCCCCTGCTTTGGTTTTTCTTTTCTGCTTTTAATACATATATTTCTGCTGTGTAGCTATTATTCAATATTTGACTGAATTTCTTATACTTCACAGCAGAAGTTAAATACTTGGGGTTGCAGAAAAAATTAGGCTTCATCCCTAATAGGGTCTTTCAGTTTGGAAACTTAAATGTTTGGAAATTGGCAGTGTAAACTCATATAAATAGAGATTATTATAACAAAGCAAAATTATTTTTTTTAACATGTCCACTATTTTCAACCTTTCCACTCATAGGAGTATCTTTATAAAGAGGTTTCCAAGACTATCTATATTTTCTCCATGAGGTTATTTCTCCCCCTTTCCCTACCCCAACTGTTTAAATTGTTTTACAATTCCAAGGGCTACCTCTTGTTTGCAATCCTGCTCTTGTAAGACTCTGCAGGCATCTTATTCTAACCTGACCATCCAGCTGTTCTACCAGGTCATGGTGCTCTAGATTTCCGCTCTCTTTCTAAAGAGTCCTGTTGAAAGTTGTGCCAACAGATGCCACATTCGGGTCAAACAACAGGATGTTGTAAATGTCCAACTGCTGTGGGCTTTTCAAATGTATATGCTAATAGGTATGCTATCAGCACACAGCTGTAAATGCAAATAACAAGTCTGAAGCTGGGTATTTTTATTGCTCTTTAACCACCTTCTGTATTGCAACTGGGCAACTCCTCGCTGGTTCCAACATGAAAAGAAAATTGCTTGCTTCATCTTGAGGCTGTGTAAACCAATCAGAGCAATAATGGCACAGAACAGAGGAGATACTATGGCTAATTGAATCAAGGCTTTCTTGTGACTGTCACACTAAAATGTCCATACAATTAACTGCTAGTAAGAGCAAAGCAGACAGAGTATGGTCACACTTCATAACAAATTATTGAAAGCTAATACAATCAATATAAGTTCCAAAGAAAAAATAAAGAGGTCCTGTACCAGCTTAGATACTAAAATTTACTTTTACATGTTTCCTACTTTGGAAATGATTAAAACAATGAGAGAAATGACAAACCTCTATTAGTATCAAACAAAAAGAAAGCCCTTTGAATTTAAACAGGATTTTCCCTCACATAAGTCAATATATGCTTTCCACCAAAGTATTAAATTCATGACATATAAGCTGATGATCAGCTACTTTAAAAAATAAATAGGTTATCTATATAAGTTGCCGATAAATCAAACTTACTATAAAAAAAATTCAGCAGCTGAATCTGATTATTCTCACAACTGTGTACATTAGTCAGGCTTTAAATTATGAAAAACAATTCATATTAAAGTTCATATTAAAAAGATTATTTCTCTTGCAATCAATTCCAAAGAGAAAAGCCTTATTTCAACTTCCATTCTTATTTCTTTTCCAGCACAAATCACTACATTTTTGTATTTGCTTAAAAATCAACTTTAATTTGATGTTTAAGAACACTTTCTTATCCATGTCCCAATGGGTTTAGTGGAACTTATTTCCATGGAAGCTTACTTGAACACAAAGCAAACAGATAAAGTAAGAAAGAGATGTTTTTAGTCACAGAGTTTTTTTCCTAATTAAAAAATGTTTTGTTTACGATGGGTTTTAAGCAGGTGAACAAGCTGTTACTGAATATCCCAATTACACATTTTAATTTATAATACACTTATTGGAACATTTTTATTTGGCTTTTATTAAAAATAGCTTTTTATGAAGAAGAGAAAAATATCATGTGGATTCATGGATGTATATATGCATACAGTATTTGTCACCTCAGTGTTAATGAACAGTTAAGATGAATGACTTCTGCTAAAATATATGTATCTGTTGCAGAATTCAACACATACTTTTTGATGCAAAGCTATTAACAGTGATGCTTTGAGTGGAAAGATAATAAAATGCTGATAATATTTTTAACAAAATTAACCAGTTATAAATTCAAGAGAGATCTAACAAAACTTCCCAACATTCTTTTGTTTGTTCTGGCTGAACAAACTCCATTAGCAATTCTGATATCATGTTTTCCTATTTAAACTATCAGAATCTCCCAGATAATTGGCAGATTGAAAAAATATTGAGACGGCTTTAAATAAACATTAGCTCCAGTTGTACCAATGCAAATTTAGCCCAAATCAATTTCATTGTTTCTTGATTTAACTTTCTGCGACTAGAAAGTTAATGATTAGTTAGCATGTCAAAGCAGATTCTGAAGATGCAATAACATATATTCTTCTCTTCTTCCCTTTGGTCAAATAAGTGTATAAGCCAAATTAATTAAATATTAATCCCAAATAAAGAATTAGGATTGGCTAATTTCCAGAACTTCAACCTCTTGCATTTAACTCAAGGACTCTAACCTGATAACATTTGAATCAACATAACTTACTTTACTTTTTCAATTTATCTGTGAAATTATGACTTAATATGTTAGTATCTATACTTAAGAAATGTAGTATATACAGCATCAAACAATAAGCAAGATTTTGTGCTCAAAATAGGGAAGGAGAGGGAAAAAAAGAAAACAAAATCAAAGAAATACAGAATGTGAACAAAAAGACTCCTAAAACCTCTTAGAATGATAAAGCAGTCAATTTGGCTTAGATAACTTGTAACATTTGTCCAGTATTAGTGGAGTGTACTGAATATATGGTTGCAAAAACAAATAAAAAGGCACAAACATAATTGTTCTTGATATAATTCATTAGTATTCAACAGTCTTTTCATTTTAGTGATAAAACAGGAATATATTGTGCTTCCCTGTTAAAAAAAAGTCAGTACTCCATTCCTGGATAAGAACATGAACAGAGGGGAAAAAGACAATATATTGTCATATGGACAGCCACCACAACACAACTTCTGTAACCATTAGGCAGCATTCCTTTAGGACTGATGTTTTAGCCAATGTATCCAGCGGGCATCAATTTAAGTAAAAGCCGCTACTGTATAAGAAAGCAAAAGAAAAACTATGAGTGTTATGCTTGTAGCTAAAGACTATGTTATGCTTGTAGCTAAAGACTATGAATTGTCTTTAGCTACAAACATTATCTAAAAGAATATTAGCATTTTATGGTAATAACTTTGTACTATCTTCTTTGCCATCTAGGACACACACACATATATATTATTTGAAAGAGCAAAGTAAAATTCCCAGTGAAAGGAACTAGAGGTATTCCCAAATCAGCATGTGCAGGATTCCAGACTAATTTTTAAAAATGTAATTATCATTTGTTGGGGAGGCAGGGGTATTACCATGTTTTGCTTGGTAAAACAGTGGGTAAAACTAAGGGTCCGCTTTGCTTGTATCAGGATATAAATCAGATTAATAAAAGCACTCCATAAAATCATAGTAACTGTCATACTCTGCCAAGTCAAAGTATCAACCATAAGGAAGGCTTAATTGCAGGGGATAAAAACCTGCATTCCCACAGTATACTAAAGAGAAGACTGGGTTTAAAGTGCTGTGTAAATCATCCTCACGTGTGGTTTGGAGTCCACGGTTTGCAGCTTGGCGCTATATGTGAACCTAATGCTAAGAGCTAGCGAGTGGTTGAACCAGAATAGCCCATGGATTACTGAATTCTAGTAACAGATTGGCATCCGCAATTGGTTGCATTGGTTGCACAAATGGCAGAAGACACGCACACGCCCTTTCTTGAAGACCGGACTTCTCCCAAGAAGTCCACCCAAGCTGGCAGGTGGACTGCCAGGTCGGTAGCGGGAAGGAGGTTTTTTTGTTTGTTTTTTTTTGCCACGACAAAAAGCCTCGCAGCCAGTTGCTGCAGGCCTCCCACTTACTTTTTTACAGCTTCTATAGATCCAGAAATGGGGACTCCGCCTCCGTCGCCTCCGCTATCGTAAAGCACCCCGCTAATATCTAACAACACTCCCTCTACGCCCGATAAGACTGCACCCCCATCAGCCATACCGAACAAGCCCCGCCCCCAGCACAGCTAAAGCCTGCTTGTGAAGCAAGACACACCTCGCCCCCGAGGCCCCGTCCATTCTTCCTGGCTGCGAAGGACCCTGGGAAATGTAGTTGTCGCTCAACCCGGGGGGGGGGTGCAACGCCGCGGAAATTTACTGTGCCGTAATAGTACAGATTCTCGGTAGTCCTGTAGTGGACCAAGTAAAAGGGGGGGCGCTTGATCGACTGGCACCCCGAGTTCCGTGGAGGAGATTAGGCAATGTGCCTTTTGGGAGATATTGATCTTCTTCGCTCCTCCGAACACCTCAGGTTTCCTTTCTGAGTCCCGCTGCAAAGGAGAGGGGGGGAGATGACGGGCTTCTTCCCGCAAGCTGCAACGGCCTCAGTCCCGTTGCGCGTTCACCCTTGGGCGGCCGATCGCAAGAGAGCCGAAGCCCAGCGACAGCTGTTTTCTCTGGCCATCGGCCAAAGAGAAGCAGAAACGGACCCCAGTCACGATGTCCACAATGTGAGCCAAACATAAAATAACAGGTTTTGGTTAAAACTGTGCTAAACCACAGTTTGCCATAACCATGGTTTGTTGAGTAAGCTGGACCCAAATACACTAGGCTTAAATCATGCTTAGCAGTGTCCCAAAGATGCTTTTTCAAAAGGCAACCGGACTTTTTTTCCTTGAAGATATTTCACTTCTCATCCAAGAAGCTTCTTCGGTTCTGAAGCTTCTTGGATGAGAAGTGAAACGTCTTCAAGGAAAAAACAAAGTCCAGTTGCCTTGTCAAAAAAAGCACGTTGTGACAACCTTGACCTGGATGACTGAGAATCTCCATAGATATGCTTCACAGTGACAATATGGCTTGTGTAATGTGCAAACCCAGTTTGTGCCTAAGATTGATCCATATTTAAGGACTAACTATTCTGTCTTACCTGCTGGGCTAGCAAAGGTGAGCAATAACACTTTCTCAACCTGTCCTGCTTAAGTGTCAGTAACTTTTTATATCTGTTTCACACAATATCTGCAATAAACCCCAAATCACATATGGGCAATGACATTGTGATACAATGTCATTCTTAGATGGGTGACATTTTGGCAATCTTGTATGGTCTTTGATTTTGTAATTTTGCAAGCCCACTTAGATACAAGTACCATGCTGGGTAGGTTATGTATCATGCTAAGCAATCATTTATTAATGATTTATTGAATCCTGAGCCATTAATCATAGTTTAGATACTATATGGGCTAAGTCAAAACAAATTGCAAAACAAATTGCAATATCACATAATGTTTACAATATCCCAAACTTCTGCTGGATTCACATGTCACTTAATCAAATTTAAGTAAAAGAAGGGATCCAGACAAAATGAATCAAACCCATGTGTCTTTGCCTTGAAGTAAGCTCTGTCATTCTGAGGGAATCTTTCTGCTATAACTACTGTATGCATAGGATGGTGGCCTTAAATAAGCTGCAGGTGGATTTTCTCAACTGATACAGACCTCCATTTATACAAATAACTTAATACCTAATTAATTTGTCATTGAAACAAAAAAAAGACAGTGAGCCACATTTTGAACAGCTACAAGAAAGATTTAATCATGTATGTTCAAACGTATATGATAATGGGGATTTTTTTCACTGTTGGTAAAGTGCAGATATTTATTTATTACTACAACAATCACTGCCATGCTGCAATTTGAAAATATGTAAGAGGCAGTGTTGGAATTATAGTCTACTTTAAGAAAAGCCAAGGAGTCTTTGAATCATTGATTTGTTCAGTGCTTCAAGTCACTTCTTCTTAAAGATAGTATCTAAATGGTAAAATTCATTATATAGACTGTGAAATGGATCAGGTTATTTAAAACAACACCACTAATGGTACAATATCTCAGCTGTCCACACTGATATGGGATATTGTCTTGGATAGTGTTATCAGTTCAAGACACCCGCTATGAATATTGATCCAGAGCTTGTAAGAGCCATCACTTGCCGTCAGGACAGGTCAGGGTTGACACTTACCTAGCATCAAAGCAATTTAAAGAGTACTACAACAGAATCTTAATGTCTGCCTGAACTGAAAAACAAAACAACCCAATGTGTGCCTGCATGCTGGTGACCTGACTATATTTTATGAAGCCCTTTAGCCCAAAACTGGCCCTACAAAAATTCCATAGATTATACTGTATTAAAATCTAATCAATAACTTTCATATATTCACTGGAACATATCCTGGGATGAACATATTGCCATACTTTTTATCATAATAATATATATAATAGAATAGGTATTATTGTGAAAGAAAGGAGGATCCAGATAAATGGATATGTATCTCATTTTTAAATGAATGTGATGTCATAGGAGCATTCTGAAATACAAAGAGACATACGGTAGTTAATTTGCAGAGCAATCAGTTATATTTGGTGCCTAACATTTTTTGGACTCATAGAATTGTATAGATAAGTTTTGTATAGAATTTTGTACCTGAGCTATCTAGATTTTGGGTGTGTTATTATTTAGACCAATTTTCTGAAATGTTCACCTTGTATGACAAAGTTACAGATTTTTTTCACTTTTTTCCAGAAAATATACATAAACATATATTTCCTCTATAATTCTAGATGAGTTTAATCAAAATGGGTCATCAATTAATTGATTAAATGAGTCATGTTCTTAGGTAAATATGTACAGCTTTTATCTTTAGATCTTGCCATAATAAAAGCATAGCTATTCACATCCTTAGCAATACTATAATTCATTTCAATGGGATCTACTGCCATGTAAGGTACTTCTTAAGATGAGTAATAGTGGTAGAATCTACCTCAGGGAAAATGATTAAGATGTATTACCAGATAAATAATGGCTCATGTGATTATTCCCATACAGACAATATTTATGTCATCTCCCAAAATCATTTTTCATTAAATCATTATTTTACCTAGTGCCCATTGAGATACAGGGTGTATCATTATTAGGTTGATTTTTTTTCCTGCCCTGCTCATCTTTCATCTCAGTTATTTGCTTTTATTTCTGTTTTACAATATACATCATGCATTCCACCTTCCTTTTTTGTGCCTGTTGTAGGGAATGCCAAATAAGGACTATTGTTCATTACTTTACATCTCTTTCTAAAGGTTGCAAGGAGCAAAACAAAAAAGAAAGAAGAAAAAGAGGGGAAAATACATCAAGGATTTACAAAATATAAAAATTACATAAACTTTTACAAATTGTTAAAAGAAAAAAGAAAAACATTATATTGTTTTTACAAAGAACTTCAGATTGGAACAAATAAACATATATCAGTTTGGCACCTTCAGTATTAATAGTAGAATTGAATCTGAAATTTGCATCTTGCTAGTGTAAACATATAGCAGTAAGTAAAGGGGTTCTGCAGGATGGTTTAAAAGGCCAAGATGGTGGTTGCATGTGCACAATCAAAATTCCGCCCCTTGTTAAAGTACATCACTTCCTCTTACAGATGCCCTTGAGTTTAAAAAAAAAAGTATGATAAAGTAAACAAAATGAAATGATTGCATCAGTAATAATATTCTTGTATCAGCAAAGAAGTCAATTGAAATACTTAGTCTTTACTAGGAAAGCATTTCCAAGACTGTTGCAACACTCATGGGAATGCCCTTGAAAAACATCCAGAAGCTTCAGTTGGTTCAAAATGCAGTGGTTCACATGGTTTTGTGCAGACCTCGGTGTGCACATGTATCACTTCTCCTGCAGGAGCTGCATTGGTTGCCAATTTGCTTCCTGGTGCATTTCAAGGTGCTGGTTGTCACCTTTACAGTACTTCATGGCTTGGGACCAGGTTATCTGAGGGATCGTTTCTTGCCAGTCACATCCACCTGTCCCACTAGAAAGGGAAGGCAAGGAATGTTACGGGTTCCGTCCCATAGGGAGGTACATCTTGCAGGACCCAGAAGAAGGGTCTTCTCTGTGGTGGCTCCCTCCCTCTGGAATATCATCCCTCCAGAAATTAGACTGGCCCCCACTCTGACACTGTTTTGGAAGGTCCTGAAGATGTGGTTTTGCCAATGGGCCTGGGTAACTTAGAGTGGGATGGAGCCCATTAAGTGGCTGATATGAGTGTGTGTTGTTGCCGAGGGGGTAGGTGAGGGGGTTTATTATTTTCTATTGTTATTATTATAATAAATAATTATTATTTATTATTTTTATTCCTTCTACATTGTTTTTATTTTCTATAAGCCACCTAGACTCTCCGTGAGCAAGTAGGCGGATATATAGATCTTCCAATATAAATAAAATAAAATAAATTTCCTACTTCTTGAAGTACTTTATTTATTTTTTAAGCAAAATTATTTCCTCATACACTACTAACATTGAGATATTAGGCAACCTTCTTAGAACATTAATTTCAGTGGCCTTAGACATGTATAAGCATACACAGAACCAATATGAAATTTTTAAAAAGGCAGATGTCCTAATACAGTGTGCTTGATCAGTGCTTACTGAATAAATCCTATTGGCTGAGGTTGCACAATGGTAAATACACATGTCATATTAGCTGATTTGTTCCAATCATTGTTCGTTAAATAGAGTTATTTTGGATAGATTCACACCATGTTTCAAATCTGATCCTAATGGATGTAATGCAATAACACATATGCATAGTGATTACAGAACTTAGCAACTGATTTCTGGATGTTTTCAGGAATACTTTTTCAGATGGAAGGACTGTGATTTCAATTTAGTACTGATAGTCAAAAGAAATTCTTGGGGTCAGAGTTTTAAAAATATGATCCCTGTTCAATAGGCTCCACTCAATGGATTTCATCTTTCTTTCTTTTTAAACAAAGAAGAAAAGCTGATGTTTTCCCATCCCTATTTTATGGGGACCAAAGGCTAGTTTCTTTGAAAGTAAAACAACAGAATTTGTAGGGGGTATCTGTATAATTTACATAATAATAGGAATGAATGTGGCATACTCTTTTGAGAGGCCAGCTGCTCCTGCCCTCCTCCCATCAACATCTGCTAAATTTATTAGAGTTTTGCCTCTAATACCTGCAAT